TTCTGCACTGTTCATGCCCATTTGTCACACTTACTTTTATCTTAGCCCTCACTTTTTGTAATACTTAAACGTCATACGTCACACTTCTTTGGATTTTTAACCTTTGTGTTTCCCTTGATTACTTTATGAAGTTGGTTGCTCCAACGAGGAGCACACGCTTCTTGCCGAACTTGACACTTGACTGACTCACGACTGCCATCCGGAGCACACCAGGAGCACGTCGCACCTTCCGCTCGGCAAACCTGAAAGAAAGCACCACTCCCTGCTCAATACACAGTGTTTCGGGGAATTCACCCCTCATCAGTTGAGCTTGAGTAGGCTGAGGAAGATTGTGCCTGAAAAGCACCACTTATATACTGCTCTCCAGGCCAAACCATCACCAGGGATACAAACTTACAGAGACGCTTTGTTTCCAGCGCGACAAACACCTCGTGAAGCCCCAGGTAGCAGCGTGAGTCAGAGTCGCTCATGGAGTTGTGCTAAACAGACGTTGAGAGCCAGTATAGCTATTCACAACGCTGTCACCTCCAACAACTAGTCGCACGTCCGCGTGAGGGACAACAATACGAACTTAGAAGTTGCGACTTCGGCGGTAATAGTCATGAAGTTGGTTGCTCCAACGAGGAGCACACGCTTCTTGCCGAACTTGACACTTGACTGACTCACGACTGCCATCCGGAGCACACCAGGAGCACGTCGCACCTTCCGCTCGGCAAACCTGACTAGTTGTTGGAGGTGACAGCGTTGTGAATAGCTATACTGGCTCTCAACGTCTGTTTAGCACAACTCCATGAGCGACTCTGACTCACGCTGCTACCTGGGGCTTCACGAGGTGTTTGTCGCGCTGGAAACAAAGCGTCTCTGTAAGTTTGTATCCCTGGTGATGGTTTGGCCTGGAGAGCAGTATATAAGTGGTGCTTTTCAGGCACAATCTTCCTCAGCCTACTCAAGCTCAACTGATGAGGGGTGAATTCCCCGAAACACTGTGTATTGAGCAGGGAGTGGTGCTTTCTTTCAGGTTTGCCGAGCGGAAGGTGCGACGTGCTCCTGGTGTGCTCCGGATGGCAGTCGTGAGTCAGTCAAGTGTCAAGTTCGGCACGAAGCGTGTGCTCCTCGTTGGAGCAACCAACTTCATGACTATTACCGCCGAAGTCGCAACTTCTAAGTTCGTATTGTTGTCCCTCACGCGGACGTGCGACTAGTTGTTGGAGGTGACAGCGTTGTGAATAGCTATACTGGCTCTCAACGTCTGTTTAGCACAACTCCATGAGCGACTCTGACTCACGCTGCTACCTGGGGCTTCACGAGGTGTTTGTCGCGCTGGAAACAAAGCGTCTCTGTAAGTTTGTATCCCTGGTGATGGTTTGGCCTGGAGAGCAGTATATAAGTGGTGCTTTTCAGGCACAATCTTCCTCAGCCTACTCAAGCTCAACTGATGAGGGGTGAATTCCCCGAAACACTGTGTATTGAGCAGGGAGTGGTGCTTTCTTTCAGGTTTGCCGAGCGGAAGGTGCTACGTGCTCCTGGTGTGCTCCGGATGGCAGTCGTGAGTCAGTCAAGTGTCAAGTTCGGCAAGAAGCGTGTGCTCCTCGTTGGAGCAACCAACTTCATGACTATTACCGCCGAAGTCGCAACTTCTAAGTTCGTCTTGATTACTTTAGTTCTGTATTTCCACTGATGATCGGAGCTTGAAAATCGATTCTGGAAACTCAATCTCAAACCTTAAGAGAGCATGTCTGAGAATACCAAAGTATGTGTGCAAGTGGATCTCTCTGATTTCGCTCAAAATTTGCAGGTAGGTTCCCTTTGGGGTGTGGATCGATTGTGCAAAGCCCTTGAAAAAGTTTCTGAAGGGAACCTTGAAATTTGGATACCCCTCAGAAATGGCCGAAATATCACATTATTTATGGGTCTAGAAACGAGTCACGCCACAGCGTATACGAACAAGCTTTGAACAAAACTCCATCAAGCCAACATAGCCTCACCTTAGAAGAGTTCCTAGAGCAGTACCGCTTAGCCACGCCAGGATCCCAGAAGACGAGGTCCATCACCCCCTAACGCCACAAATGATCGTCTTGAAAATAACCAATTTACAAGCGCTGGCAAAACAGCCAGCTACGTCCTCAATTGGCCAGAACTATACATCGGCAGATAGTAGAACACCTCTTCTAGCGCTGAGGACATGTCCCCCATCTTCCTTTTGGGGTTTTCTTGAAATAAACTTTTTTGAATTTTTCCACTCGACCATGCTGAAATACGGCCAAAGTCATACCTGCGCAGGAAAGCTCGCCCCTCCGCGACGTCTCCTCAGCAATTTCTACTCCAACACTACTCCCAAGGCCGCAGAACAAAGTGTATTGTTGGCAATGACAAGGAAAAGCAGCGGTGATCACTTGTCACTCCAAACGACAAGCTTCTCCTTGCGCCACCAATAATTTTTTGTGCGACTGTTGATGCAACAGTGACTGAAGTCCTGAGCGCAGTTTTTGAATTTTATTGCAAGATGCACGGTGAGATCGCGTGCTCTGTGACGTAGCATGACGCTTCCTGGATCACAACACGCTGCCATCGATCGCGAGCGTGACTGGAACGCTACTCGGAACAGACCATGAGATTAGCTGTATTTCCTGCTTGATCTACTGAGAACCCTCGCAAACTGCACTTGGAGTGTTGCAATGGCAGCAAGCCGTTGAAATATGCCCCCATTACAGCATGGAGAGTTATTCATCTTTCACACTTACCTCCTGCAATCCCGAACATAGTCCAACGGTAAAAGTCCCTTGTTTTCATGTCTATGCTCGACAAAAACTGCTAGCGCGGTCGCTTTGTGTTGACTGGCACGCGAGCAGCACTGGCTGCACGAACTTGTCGCGTGAACTGCATGAGAGATTTCTTACGTCATAAAGAATGTGATTTCATCATCATTTTCACTGGTCTTCGACCTACGTGGTCAGGAAAAGTCCCGGTTCCTAGGCCTACAACACGGTCAGCGTGTTTTTGAGCGCAGTAACAACACAAGTACCTAGTGTGATCACTTCCAGACCAACGGGCGTTCAAGGCGAGTAACAAGCGCACTTGACGAAGGCGACTCTGAAATCTCGTGACCCGTGATCCACGCGACTTGGCATTCTTGCGTCACAAGGCACGTGATTTCACCGTGCCTCTTGTTGTAAAATTCAAGAATTGCGCTCATGCCTTCAGTCACTTTTGCATCAACAGTCGCACACAAAATTATTGGTGGAGCAAGGAGAAGCTTGTCGGTTGGAGTGACAAGTGATCACCGCTGCTTTTCCTTGTCAGAGCCAACAATACACTTTGTTCTGCGGCCTTGGGAGTAGTGTTGGAGTAGAAATTGCTGAGGAGACGTCGCGGAGGGGCGAGCTTTCCTGCGCAGGTATGACTTTGGCCGTATTTCAGCATGGTCGAGTGGAAAAATTCAAAAAAGTTTATTTCAAGAAAACCCCAAAAGGAAGATGGGGAACATGTCCTCAGCGCTAGAAGAGGTGTTCTACTATCTCCCAGTGTATAGTTCTGGCCAATTGAGGACGTAGCTGGCTGTTTTGCCAGCGCTTGTAAATTGGCTATTTTCAAGACGATCATTTGTGGCGTCAGGGGGTGATGGACCTCGTCTTCTGGGATCCTGGCGTGGCTAAGCGGTACTGCTCCAGGAACTCTTCTAAGGTGAGGCAATGTTGGCTTGATGGAGTTTTGTTCATAGCTTGTTCGTATACGCTGTGGCGTGACTCGTTTCTAGACCCATAAATAATGTGATATTTCGGCCATTTCTGAGGGGTATCCAAATTTCAAGGTCCCCTTCAGAAACCTTTTCAAGGGCTTTGCACAATCGATCCACACCCCAAAGGGAACCTACCTGCAAATTTTGAGCGAAATCGGAGAGATCCACTTGCACACATACTTTGGTATTCGCAGACATGCTCTCTTAAACAAATTGTCATGTTGCGTGGTGATGTCTGCGGCATTCATACTTTTCATAGCTATTATTTGGATGTTTGCTGATATTACATTTCCAGTCGATATTGAGAGGGCCAGCTGGTCACTTAGTGTCAACCCAAGTAAAATGGAACGTACTCAGGTGCTCAGAAGCAACGAAAGGATTGGTGAGAGGTGGAGAATGGTCCGAAAACTAGGATCTCGTCTTGGCAACGAGGCTGACGTAGCACGGAGGAAGCAGCTTGCTTCAGCGGCCTTCACTTCAATGTTTAACGTCTGGAAACGGAGATCTGCTGTGAGTGAGCGTCTGCACCTGCGATTGCACTCGGCATTCGTCCTACCCGTCCTCACGTACAACTGTGGCACTTGCAGCCTCGCGCAATTTGCTCTCCAGAAGTCGGATGCCTTACACCGACGTCAGTTGCCGTCTCTCCTTGGCATCAAATGGCCACAGCGCATCTCCAATGAAGCACTGTACCAGAGGTGCCAAATAGAGGAGATCAGCATCTTCATCCGCCGTGCCAGGTGGCGTCTATTTGGTCACATCTTGCGGCTGCCACCATCAACCCCCGCAGTAATGGAAATGGAATTTTTTCGCAAACAACAGCCCCAGATGGCTTGGCCGGCAACGCGTCACTCTTCCCAACGTGCTGCATCAAGATCTGCAGAAAGCCGGGCAGGGTAGACTCCTGACTCCGGGAGATCTCCATTCGCTCTGGGCAATAGTTACCTGTCGTAAGAGCTGGAAGGCTCGGCGTGAGGCAATATGTTCATCCAACTAGTTACAAATCAATGTACTTGTAATCCCATATTAGCCCGGTAGTGCAACATCAAATCAACCAGATATATCTTCTTAATTTGCTCATCTCCCTATGTTTTTCTCTCTCTCTCTCCCTCTCATCTCTCTATCATTCTCTCTCTCAATCTCTCTCTCTCTCTCTCTCTCTTTCTCTCTCATCTACACCGGTGGGTGAGATGCAGATCTCACTGTAACCCACACACTTGACGTACAATGTACATCTTATCCAAATTCTACTTTGTTCTTCCAGACATTTCGTGAGTAATCAACTTGTAGACCTACCTGACGGGCTGTTCAAAGCCACAACCAAATTACAAATCCTGTAAGTCATGGTGGGCATGTATTGGAAAAGAGAGAGAGAGAGAAAGAGAGAGAGAGAGAATGAGAGAGAGAAATAGAGAGAATGAGAGATAGAGAGATAGATAGATAGATAGATAGATAGATAGATAGATAGATAGATAGATAGACAGAGAGAGAGAAAGAGAAAGAGAGAGAGGGGAGAGGGGGGAGAGAGTGAGAGAGAGGGGGGGGGGGAGTGAGGGAGAGAGTGAGTGAGAGAGAGAGAGAGGGGGGGGGGAGAGAGGAGGGAGAGTGAGAGGGGGGGGGGGAGAGAGAGAGAGACAGAGATCGATCAGTCTGTGAGAGTAGCTGACTGAGTTACTGCTCCGCTGCATTCACCTCTAGATCTAGTGCGCTTGTGAGAGCCTGGAAGGTCCGCTTTCCAGCCTCAGTTCTGACGCTGACGGGAAGAGCATTCCACTGGACAATTGCCACGAACCAGATGGGACGTCGCCCGAAGGGACTGCGGAGAAAATGCACACATAGCAGATTGGACTGCTGCCCTCAAGTTACCCGGATGTTGCTGGGGACGCCAACTGGAGCTGTGCCTCTGAACATCTCCTAAAGCAGGGGGCTAGCTTTGTGGTGGAGGCACCGATGAACTAGGACCAGAAACCTTTGATTTAGCAGTTGCAGTAGGCTGGGATAGAAGAGGGGCTGTGGGCACGAGATTACGCTGTTGGAGGGTTGACCGTAGACCTCTGTTGGAGAGTTTGGAGACTTGATCAAGAAGGGTTGGACTCCGCAAGAGCTGCTGTCGCAAGGTGGCACCGATGCCAGCCTTGAACATCTTTTCAAACGGACCAAGCAGGTGTGTGCTAGGTCCTGGAAAGAAACTGTTTGAACCATAACACAGCTGGGAAAGGATCATGCTCAGGAACCATGTTCGCCGGGCAAGCAAACTCAGTCCTCGTCCATGCCTCCAGAGCTGACCAATTGTTCGCGCTGTCTTGCGACCGAGATACCCCACATGTGGAGCCCAGGATAAATCATTATCCAGGACTAAATCAAGGTACTGGGCTGTAGACGTCACACAGAATTTCTCGCCATTGCAGAAGACCTCCGGTTGTATTGCAGCCGTGCCTCGTGGCCGGATGAAGAGCAACTGTGTCTTGGGAGTGCTGAGGAGCAGGCCAATGTCCTCCAGCCAGGTAGCAAGGTTTGTCATGGCTTTCGTGAGGGTTCTGCACACCATAGCAGGGTCAGAATGGGAGCAGTCGAAGACTTTCGACATATGAACGAACACTGTCCCAGGGAACTCTCGTTTGCATCTAGCGGTGGACCATAGATTAACACCTAACACAAGTGCATCCTCAGTCGAATGTGCCTCCAGATAGGCCGTGAGCTGTCTCTTAACCATTGTCTCCAGATTACGGGAGATAATGGGGTGGAGAGACACTGGACGATAGTTCTGGGGCAGGGTTGGGTTGCCACACAATGGACTGAAATGTGACACTTTGAAGGTAGGCGGGACCTGTCAAGTTCCAAGAGACAAATTGATAATGCTGGTGAGATTCGATGCAAGAACAGAGGCATCTTCAACTGAAACTGGCTGGAAATTGGATAGGTATGTCTCCAATGCTGGCCCTGCGGGTGGCTGAAGGTTCAATGTCCGAGCTGGGTCATGGACAATACTATCAAAGAGTGAAGTTAGTTCTGTGATGGATGCCTGTGGCTCAGACGACTCTTTCTTCCAACCAGCAACTGCATTCATGATTGACCAAAGTCTTCGCTGGTCACTGGTGTTGCACTGTACAGTGAAGAACTCGTTTCTGAGCTGATGAACTAGCTTTCCTGCTGCAACCCTTGCAGCTCTATGTGGGTTGCGTAGCTCTTCATTTTGTTTGTCCCGCATCAACAAGCGGTGAAGCCAGCTCCGTTCCCTCAAACGGGCTACTGGTGCTGCATTTAGCCATGGACAAGGACGGGTGTCCTTTTTTTGTCGGTGTTCTACTGGTGCATGGTCATTCAGAGTAGAGAGGAGAGCGGAGGTTAGGCAGTTTGCCAATGTGTCCACATCTGCTTGTGCCTGCAGCGTGCTCAGCTTGTTGCTAAGGTCTACATTAAACTGTTCGCAGTTTATCTTATGTAGTCGGCGAATAGGATTCGGGCGGTCGGTCTTGTGATGCACACAAGCAATACGTGCTAATATTATTATTATTATTATTATTATTATTATTATTATTATTATTATTATTTTTTCTCTTTTTTTGAAGTGCAAGCCTCTTTTACGGGCAAAAATTAACACAATGTATTAAAATGCAATACAACATACACTGGAGAAGAAATCAGGAAAATAAAATATGAGCTCAAAAATGGAACGAAAAATAGCAAATAGAATCAAAACTCACGATGGAATCAAACTCATTATTATTATTATTGATTCGAACAAGTTTTCGTACAACACTCTTCAGGAATCACCGTTGTACTAAAGAACAAAATGAGAACAAAGGAAATAATATAGCAATCAAGGTAGGGTGACACGATACCATGACAGCACTGGAATATAGAGGTGCGATTTCTCACAAAAGTGTGCAGAAAACAAGGGTATACAAGTAAGAACTAAGCGTGACAAGTGTGTATCAGCAACAAAAAACAAAAAAGTGAGAACGAATGATAATAATAGCAATAATAAACAATGTTCACACATATATTCTCATGAAATGCTTCCACTACATTTTATTTGTTATCACATTATAAAAAATTCACACAAATTGAGTGTCAGCATACACACAATGTCATAACAAACATTTCTATAATAATAATCATACCGCTTGCATGTCTTTATCTCTATACATTTCCTCATATAATTTTCTTCATCTTTCTGTGAGAACCGGACCTATAGGCCGGTAAGAAGGCAATCATGCCTGTGCAATTGGTGAAGTAAAATAAAAGTCAACAACAACAACAACAAATAAGAAGGTGACAAAACACATTTAGGCACAAGTTGCAACAACGTTGCCACACTACACAACAGAACATTATTTGAACAATTTTAGGGTAATATCACTATCTTTCTGGACACACAAATTCGGCTTATGAATGCGCTGACAAACAGCAATTTGAACAATTGTTCAAATAATGTTCTGTTGTGTAGTGTGGCAACGTTGTTGCCACTTGTGCCTAAATGTGTTTTGTCACCTTCTTGTTTATTATTGTTATTATTATCATTCGTTCTCACTTTTTTTGTTTTTTGTTGCTGATACACACTTGTCACGCTTAGTTCTTACTTGTATACCCTTGTTTTCTGCACACTATTGTGAGAAATCGCACCTCGATATTTCAGTGCTGTCATTGTATCGTGTCACCCTACCTTGATTGCTATATTATTTCCTTTGTTCTCATTATTATTATTATTATTATTATTATTATTCAACGCAATAAATAGAGTAAGCTGCGCACTCAGTACAAACACCATAAGTAAAACTTGTTATCATGTATAATAAATAAGCTTGTTCCTAAACGTTTTCGTCGCCATCTCATCAGAGGATTACTGGCAAATCAACAAAAGCTCTTAACTCAATATATATATACGCACAATGCAAGTAATAATTTAGACCCTAACTAGCGCGATAAAATGAGAGCTGAAAGACACATTACACCATTCAACGATATCAGGTGACAACAGATGCGATAAATTCACCACTAGAAAGTTACCATGCAACCACAAACGAGAACTACTGATCTAAAATTCACAAACAATTTCAACGTAAACAAATTCTTTTTTTAATTATTATTATTACTAGTTTGTACGTGAAGTGTGTGGGTTAGAGTGAGGGCTGCGTCCCACCCGCCTGTGTGGATTCACAGGAATTGTAAGTTACGAAGTCTGAAGAAAACGTTGAACGGCCTCTGCTGGGATGACGACTACACCATAGCTCAGTGGTTAGAGCATCGCTGGCTACAAGCGAGGGTCCCTGGTTCGAGTCCTGGTGGTGGCAGTCAATTTTTCTTCAGACTTTTCCCGTTTGTCTCTTTCCCTCAAACCAGTTAATATTATTATTATTATTATTTTATTTTTTTTTAAAGAGGTCGGAGGCGGATAATACTTTAAAACGAAGGTAAGTTATGGGTCGCAAATATCCACGCAAACACACATCCAGTCATAATAAGGCACTTGTCATAAGTATCCGAACGTTTTCGGTCCCTTCTCATCAAGGATTATACAGGGAATGGCTCAAGCTGGAAAGACTAAAACTTATATAGCGTAAAGATAATTAGATAACAACACTCGTGACAAGGTGGAAAATTATCAAGTTTAGCACGACACAAAACTCGAAGGAAGATAATAATAGTGTCAAAAACATAGTGAGCAAATTAAGTTACATTGTTACCACCTCGACGAGGAGTAACACCAAACAATTGTAGCGACAACACATTTTCTTTCTGTACGCAAAGTTCAGGATCTAACTTACGGATATACAAAGCTTCTATTATTATTATTATTATTATACGCATTCCCGCGTTGAAGTGTAGCAGCAGTATGCTGCGTCCACAGCTTCGCTTATGCAGAATGGCTTGGGTGAGAGGAGAGGGGAGAGAAAGCAACAAGGCAACCAACATCTATGAAATTGGTCACAATAACATGAAGAGAACCAACCTACATAATGCATGATTGCACAAGAATGGAGACGACCAAATAATTATAATGGCTATAATCACAAAGCTTCTAACACAGCCAAATGTAACTTACATCTACCACGTGACAATATTGAGAAAACATTATCACTGTACAACTCACGACAATTGGTACGGGCTGACAGATGTTGCTTGATTGACGAAGTGCGATTCTTAGCTCCATTGGGTGTTGTCTCCTCCAATGTCCCGTCATCTCGCCTCTTCGTGGCATCACCACTATCTGTCTCTTCGCGTCACGAGTGTTGTTATCTAATTATCTTTACGCTATATAAGTTTTAGTCTTTCCAGCTTGAGCCATTCCCTGTATAATCCTTGATGAGAAGGGACCGAAAACGTTCGGATACTTATG